TCTGCGTCTCTCTAGCTCTCTCTGTCTGTCTTTCTGTCTGTCTACACACACTCTCTCTCTCTCTGCGTCTCTCTAGCTCTCTCTCTGCGTCTCTTTAGCTCTCTCTGTCTGTCTCTCTGTCTCTCTCTCTCTCTCTCTCTCTCTCTCTCTCTCTCTCTCTCTCTCTCTCCAATCTTCCCCACCTCCCCAACCACGACGCCCAATACTGTACGACGACAGCATTAACACTTTAACCCTATAACTGCAAAGCCTGCTTCTGCAATCTCATAAAAGAGCAAAAGATATTTCGGGGGCTGATAGTGAAGGGGATAAAGAGATAGCGCGCACAAACGTCCGATCGACAGAAGAACAAAATAATGCAATGTTGAGGCACATTTCTACAATCGTACACACATCAGAAACACGATTTTGCAGGTTAAAATGTGTAGTATGCTGTTCTCTGTCTTTGTCTTTTTAAGTTTCCGAGAAATAAAACAGAACCGCAAAATCTAAATTGAATAACGAGGTATAGCGCACCTTCAGGCGGTGTCGAATGACCAAACGGCGCGTCGTGAAAGAGTTAACAAGACTTGCTCTTGTATTGCCCACGGCCTGGGACAATCTCCTCAATAGTAGACCTTCCACGAGCCTGAGAAAGGACGCAGGCGGTAATCTCACACCGTGACCCACATACCTGGTCCAGATCTTTCCTTCCTTTACTTTACAGCCGCGGCGACATTGCTGGCGAGGCAGTTTACAGAAATTATGTTGTTGTCGCGAGAAGGAAAATAATCATTATCGTATTTTGATACACCTGTCACGGCTCGAGTTTGCTGTGGGATTAGGAGGTTTGCTGTTAATGTTTGTTTTTTCCCTCTAGATAAAAATACGTATTTAGCCTTGCATTTTTCTAAAATCCTACCTAGCACGATAAGTCAATAAAAAAACCAAGAGATATTTTTTTTTAAATTAAAGAAAAGGTGGGAAGAGGACATTGATTAATCACAGATATCCCACGCCTCCATCGACACCAATAATGATCTTTAGGAAGAGGGTCCACAATATGACCAGAAACAAGGATATATTCGGTAGTCAAACGTACATGTCCACTCGCCAATCGAACTCACATCTTTTGTATGCAATGACACGCGACCAAACCATCACACCATCGACACCAGTTTAAAATAACGAGAAGAAGTAAAATGAGAGGCTAAGAACCAACTGAAAAGACGCAAACGGCGGGGGGGGGGGGGGGGGTGGCACAATTTCTGTTTTTTTGTTGTTGTAATTAACAGAAATAAATGAGATATTACTATCATCAGACGCACCAGAGAACGTCTTCCGGTGTTTCAAAACCTTCAACTCCGAGCTTCCTTTTACAGCCGAGACATTATTTGAGAAAACTCTCGGCATCTGTATCTGTCGTCCTGAGCCACCAAATCTCTTTCTCATTTCAGGAGTGGACGTTTGTCAACATCCGAGGCTGACGTCACCTCCGAAATGTGGCGTCTGCAGGGAGATCGGGTTCTTTCTACGACATCGTTGTTTTTCATTTTGTTTTGTCCCTCTCCACAGTGGTGTGAAATAACGCCTCATCGCTGGCCTGACTGAACGACCGAAGCTCACAATCAATTCGGAGAGGATTTCCCATAGAATTGTCTAAAATGGGAAAGTTTTGTTTTTTAATTTGTTATATCCATGATGATAGAGTTTAAATCGTCGAAAAGGAGGTGTTTGTTTGTCAGTTTGTTTGTTTGTTTGTCTGTTTGTTTGTTTGGTCGTTTGTTTCTCTGTTTGTTTGTCTGAGTGGAGAGAACCACGTCGACACAATAGCGGGCATTTAGTGCTAGGAAAAGCAAGAGAGACAGACAGAAACAACAGTGAGAGACATTAGATGTAGGACCTACTAACTGGCGGCGCTGTCCAGCAACCAGCACAGGTGGTCAACCAACGATACCTAAGCCACGGGGGGAAACATTCTTAAACTTAAAACTACCACAACAATGGTAACAGTCGTAACTAGGAAATAAATACAAACACACACACACACACAAACACACACACACACACACACACATACACAAACACACACATACACACACACACAGTGAGAGAGAGAAAGAGATCGAGAGAGAGAGAGAAAAGAAAGAGAGAGGGGAGGGTGGGGGGATGTTTATTGAGTTTTGTCAGCAAGCATTATTTGTGTCCTTTTTTGGCGTGCACATGAACTTTGTGACATCACTGCTATTGTGAACAGCTAAGACAAAATTTTCTTTTCAAGACGAATAAAGATTGTCACTGTCATCAACAACTAAGAGAACCATTGGCACAAGATCGTTTACTTTATGGTAATTATGGTTTATCAAGGACCAACTAAAAACAATTACATTCCGGTAGGTTCAGTTTTAAGCTTGATTTTGAGTAAAGGGAAATACTTTGGCAAGACAACAGTACTGGGGAGAAGCAAATTAGATAGAAATAACAGTAAAAGAAAGCCTACAAGAGGAGCCCTCTAACCACCCGATCCTTCCTATGGGCAATGCAACCCTGCACAAAAAGAACTGGTTTGATTTTAATACGTTTTTTTACGGCATATGCAACACAAATCGGTCATATAAGTGCCGGAAAAAAGAACCACAACCACAAAAAATAACAATATCAACATCAGAAGAATAAAAAGCGATACCAGTATCCACGAGGACGACGACAAAGACTACAATAATAATGGCGACAAACGCCAAGCATTCTCTATAACATTATGTCGGTGCCTCGTGGCTGAACAGAGTTCGTGTCCCCAAAGGCATCGATCAGATTTTTTTCGAAAGACGATCAATATCGACTGATCAAGACTAATGGTGGACTGGTCTCCAGTGGCCGAGTGGTCAGTGAGCTCCGGTTCACAGAAATGTCAAGCTATTATGTCGGTGACGCAGCGTTTAGATAGCTGGCCACAGGTGGTTTGTCCTTGAGCAAGACATGATAAACTCAGCTCAAAATTAGGGCGCTGCACAGTGGCTGAAGTGAAGTTGTGTATTATGTCACGCCCTTGAATTATTCCGGGTATAAATTGTATTAATTTTTCATATCATTTCGAGTTTATATCACGTATGCTATTACAAAAGAATTTGCTCCCACAAGATCAATAAAAGTAGAATTTTTACTTATTTATTTATTTTTCGATTGATTGATTGATCGCTTGACTGATTGATTGATTGGTTGATTCATTCATTCATTCATACATTCTTCATTCATTCATTTACTTATTGGATAAGTATTTATCATATTTACGATATCTAGAAAGTCCAACCCCTGGCCTGTAATGTAAGCGATGTAAGGTCACGACAGACGTTTGTGTTTGTGCTGTACATGTTTGTATTTCTCCCCTGTGGGCCTGTAGCGAGTGGCATATGACGTCAGTGTGTTTCACAAAAGACTTATTGTAGTGGGTGCAAGGAAACGATCGTATTTTCTGCGATACGTTGCGTCTTCTTATGTGTCTATCCAGGTACATCACACATACTTTCGCCTCTGCGTCTTTCTCTTACATCTCGATACTGGACCCAACTTCCAATGGTTGTGATCTTCCAACATCTTTTATGTTATTGTTATTATTGCACATGTCTTACCCCCCCCCCCCTTAACCAACACGATTTAGATTAATTAGGAGCAAGGCTGCTTCGACCCTGTTTGTAGGGCTAATCCGAGCTGAGAGGGATACAATGTCCAAGCACACCGATGTAGGCGCTCGATTAAAAAATACTCCCCATTAGAGAATCGAACTCACGATTTCTGTACGCGACAGCAAAGAGCCTAACTGCTATACATCAAATATTGTTTCAATATTTATGAACCAGAGGAAAAGTCTGCCGTCTGTTCTCTGATTGCAAAGTTGATTCTGTTAAAGCCAAAGTCTTTTTGCAGGTATCTTTGTACATTGATAGATGTTGAAGCTTTAAAAATATCCAAAAAAACTTCTGATCTAGTTGTCAATGGAGGAATACCATTGTAAGCCTGGTCGAGTGGTAAGATTATACCGGCCTTACAATAATAAAGACATTACTACGAGGTTCGGTAGGAGCATGATAGCGGTGTGCGCTCTAAGGGCTTTGTTAGGGGAATTAAAGAGGTATTTTGATAAAGATTAGGTCAGCTAAAGGAATTATTCTGACGTCAAGCGATTTTTCAACTGAGCCTTCGACAATAGCAAAGCATTTTTAACTATAAAACGTCCACAGCGGCTCCATATCTTTGTGGTATCCGTTCAAACAGATTTTGTAGCCCAACTCACACCAGAAACCGACACCCATGCCCTATTTCTTTTGTTGCAGTAGAATAAGAGTTTTACGGAATGGCAACACAAGCGGGTTATATTGAGAGATTCGAGGTGTTGTTAGAGAGTAACAAACACAAATTTAAAAAGTTGGAGGAGATATTCTCATACGGACGATAGATGTTGGATAGAAAAAAGCGCAAAACACACCAGTCCACCCGCCAACCATCCACTCCCTTCATAAACTCGCAATCACGAGAGGATGAGGGAATTAACCATATTATTATTCGAATTGATTCCATAGGACTGTTGAGCCGTGTGCTACATGTATAGTTGAGTACTAAAATCGAACCCACAACAAAGGAATGCCGACGCATACACTACAACATACTAAAATCGAACGGCTCCCAAAGGAATGTCACAGCAGAAATGAAACAGAATACGACGAAACGTGAATAATTGTAAAAGAATGTTAATACGACGGTATAGCAGGCTTTATCACCAGGGATCTTGAGGCCTACACTGCCTTCCTCTCGGCCACAGCTCGCTGGAGATCGATGGGGAGAGACATCGCTTGCAACGCAAAAATGTTGAGAGAGAGTCGCGAAAGACTACATATTATGTTTCCGTTTTGCCCAAACTGTTGACGTTATTTTGTCTTCATTATGAATTTTTATCTTCTACAGTTTCAAAACTTTAGAATATTCTCTCTCTTTCTCTCTCCC